TACCAATTGTATCAGTATTAGTCGTATAATTATTACGAGTAGCAGTAGCAGCAGTACCAGTATAAGTATGTTTGGCATTTCTGATACTAGTATTACTAATCGTTGTCTTACTGCCATTTTCACTACTGATAATATTATTAGATCTAGCATGATATTCAGATTCGCTCTGTTGGTAGTCAACTCCTTCTTGCTATTACTATCTTGGTTACCCTCCTTCGTATTACTATTGTTTCCTCCTCCTTCGCGTCAATAGTAGTACTCGTGTGTGTCTGTGTTTTCTTAGTGCTACTATTAATAGAATGTTGATTCGTATTGGCATTCCCCGTCTTGTAATGATTCGTCGTCGTCTGATTATGTGCTGCGTTATCATTGGTCCTCTTCTAAGTAATTCGATGTGTTTAATATTATTATGTGTACGATGCGAATACAAATATGATTCGTGTTATCCTTACCGTTATTAATACTCATGTGTGGATTCGTATTCTTGGTATGGTAGTTGTTTTGCATGTTCTGTTAATTGAGAATATGGTTCAAATTATCGATATCCTTCATAATAATATGACTACTCTGATTTAGCACAATTAGACTCAGCATTGGTATCCCTTATCCCTCGTATTACCATATTATCAGCATTAGTATCATTACTCTTCATATTCAAACTATTATAGGTATTATTAGTACTACCATTTCCCAAAATATTACTCGTACTGTAATATTAGTATTATTAGAAACACCCCTATGATCAGCATCATTACCAGTATTGACATTTCGATTCTTATTAGTATTATAGTTAGCCGTCTTAGTCCTAGTATGCTTCTTGTAACTATAACTCTCATTCGTATAACTATTATGCTGATTCGTCTTAGTCTTCCTCATGCTATTCTTCTTATGCATAATATTGATATCACTGTTACGATTAGTACTAGTTTTGTCATTCGTAATGGTATGCTTGATGTTATTTCTCGTATTATTAATAATGATATTACTCGTATTATGCTTCTTCATATTATTAGAAGCCTTGAAAGTATTATCGGCATTGTCAATATTATTACGTTTCTTCGTATTAGTTGTCTTCCTTTTCTTCCTCCACCTCCTCCTCCTCCACCGCCTCCTCCTCCGCTTCCTCCTCCTCATCCTCCTCCTTGTCCTCATCATCATCATCATCATCATCATCATCATCATCATCATCATCATCATCATCATCGTCATCGTCATCATCATCATCGTCGTCGTGGCCCTTCGTCGTCGTCATCATCATCATCATCATCATCATCATCATCCTGCGTATCCTCCTCCCTCCTTCATCCTTCCCCCTCCTCCCCCTCCCCCTCCCCCTTGTCTTCCTCCTCCTGCTCCTCCTCATCCTCCTCCTCCTCGTCCTCCTCCTCCTCCTCCTCCTCTTCCTCTTCGTACTCCTACTCCTCCGCCTCGTCACCATCGTCGTCCTCCTCCCCCTCCTCCTCGTCATCCTCCTCGACCCCGTCGTCCCCATCCTGCCGAGCGGCGGCAGGCCTCTGGCGTGAAGACCGGGACCCCATTCGCGTCGGGGGACACCGGCGAGGGTCCTCCGCCAAAGGGCCCCCCCTCTGCAGCAGGCGCAGCTTCACGGCGACGGCCAGGACCACCACAGCCATCACGACGACCGCGCCCACAGCCGCGGCAAAAACTACAAAAGCGGCGGCGGCGACAACGACTATCGTAGGCCGTCAGCTTGGATACAGAGAGGAGGGTGGAGGGAGGGGGAGGAAGGGAAATAATGAATCATAACAGCAGATATATGAACACACATGTAACGAGAAGAGGGAACTAGAGAATGAGAGAGGAAAAAGAAAATGGAAGAATGGAACAGGATGAGAGAGAATGAGTGACAGAGAGAAAGAGAAGATGATAACATGAAAATGTATGATGGCTAATGGCTAATATAGCAACATCGATGGCAATAACAATCGTGATACTAATCTTGAGAATGGTAGCAGTAAGAATAATGACGATGATAATAATGATAATATAACCAATCAATTTCCGACTAGTATGAATAATGAAAATGATGACAAGAACATGAAACATAATACGAACACGAATTAAAACAATAATGATAATAACCATTGTAGTAATACGAATACCAACAACACACACACACACACACACACATTGCAATGATAATATTAATAATCATAATAAGCCCCACGCGCGCCCCAAAGGCCCCAGAGAAGGGACCAAGATGGCCACAAGAGATCCCCGATGGCCTCCAATACTCCCTTGTCAACGCAACTCGCCTAGGCATCGTTTCTGGATGGGTTGGCGGGACACGCGAGGCGCCAATATTTGCACACGAAAACCCGCAACCAGTTTTAAAGCAGAGCCTTGGCGCCATCAGCGCGGGCGGCCCCAAGAAGTGGCGCAGAGGCGAGACCGAAGCCTCGACTGCCCGCGGCCAGGGGCCCCGGGTCTCGCCACGACGTGGGCACCCCGCGCAGGAAGGCTCAACTCTGCGAGGCCTAGAGCACGCGCAACAGCATGCCGCCATGCAGCAGCGCGCCGCGGCGGGGCAGCAGCCATTGGATGCACATGACCCAATCGGCCATGATTTCGCCGAAGGCCGGCCACATCCCCTCAAGTGCTGGCCCATGGCTTGCCATTCGAAGCGCCCAGGCCGCCTCCGTGCAACTGTCGGACGGCCTGCGGCATGGCGGAGGCAGCGCAGGCGATCGACATTTTGCCCGCGCCCCTGCTCGGGCCCCGACCCAACGAAAACCCGGAGCGGAGATGCGGAGAAATTCCCGGCCCCACTGGACACGTTTTTTCCCCACGCCCTGCTTCCCCTGGCGCCCGGAGCGGGCGGCAGCAGCAGCGGCATGGACCGCGCGTCGACCGTCGATACTGGGCAGCACTCACTCAGACCGGCGTCGCGGAGGCACTGCCGTCGCACCGCCGCGGGATCGCCGCGCGATGCCACCAGACGCCCGCCGCGCGCATTGCACGCCCGCCCCGCGCCCCCGAGGACAGCGCGACATCGGCCCCATCGCGGGCGGCCAGCGCGAGCCCCGCAGACACAGACGCCCGGGCGCTGGGAACCGCCAGCGTCGGGAGCCACAGCGACGCGCTCCTCGGCGGGCGGCCGCGCCCCGTGCCCCAGGGCGCTCTCGCGCGCCCACGTGCGCCGCCAGATTGAGGTCGGCCCGATCGGGCGCGGGGCCGCGCCCACGCGCGCGCGAGCGAGGCCGAAGACGCCTCGCGCGCGGAGCGGGCCCCCGCGCAGCTGGAGGGAGGCGACGCCATCGCAGAGATCATGCGCGACGGCACGCGCCCCCACCTTGCCAGGGGTGGACTCATGGGCCCCATGATCGGCCAAGGCGGCCCGTCTCCTCCGATGCGGCGGCCAGCTCGGCAGCTCCCGCGGCCTGTCACAGGCAACCAGGGGCCCCTCGTACATCAGGGGTATCTCGTGCGCACGATCATTGATGGATACACCTAAAAATCACCCTCTGTCAGCCAGCCAGCCACGGATGGACATGTAGTTCGCAAAGCGTAGAGCGCGCTGAACATGGAGTCCGATAAATTTATCCAGGTCTCCGTCCAGCTGTGGTCCGCGCGACTGTCGGCGGCCCCTTGACTGCGAACCATGTGTCCACGGCGATTGCACCAATAATGCGAGCAGGTGCGGACGGACGTTCTCACTGGCAACTGGCAGGAGTTGCAAAGTTCAAGCATGCATTTGGACTGCTCCAGTATGCCATAGGTCTTGAGCATGTCCTGGCGGGCGTCAGCATCTGCGTTCCTGAACAAGACCATATCTCTGATAACAGCGACATTCGCGTTCTTGACCCACGAAGTTGTAGCACGGACGTAGTTCGCGCAGCGCAGTTAAGTGAGATCATCGGTCACACGATATGCGTAGCGATAGTGGTTCCTCTGCTTCTCCTTCCTCCGCACATAGAGTCTGGGCATATAGCATGCAGCGCGCCATTGAACTTGCGATGCACACTCAGTGGTGCTCGGCAACGTCGGGCCCAACGCATACAGACCAGCAATATTGAACATCGGTGCGTTCCCTTGTTCTCACAGGCGTCGGCTGCTATTCCTCCGCTGTAGAGCAGAGGTTATTGTGGTAAAAGAGACATTGATGTGTGCAGCGAGCATCATCAAGCATCATCATCAACATCACCAGCATCATCATCAGCATCAGTATCGTCATCATCATCATCATCATCATCATCATCATCATCAGCAGCAGCATCATCATCGTCATCAGCATCGTTATTATCATCATCATTATCCGCATCCTCATCCATCATCATCCTCCTCATCATCGTCGTCGTCATCATCGTCAGTTTCCTCATCATCGTCGTCATCATCAGCAGCAGCAGTCATCCTCATCATCATCATCATCATCATCATCATCATCATCATCATCATCATCATCATCTCATCATCATTATCATCATCATCATCATCATCATCATCATCATCGTCGTCGTCGTCGTCGTCATCATCATCATCATCATCATCATCATCATCATCATAATCATCATCATCATCATCAGCATCATTATCAGCAGCAGCAGCGACATACTCATCCTCATCGTCATCATAATCATAATCAGTATCATCATCACCAGCATCATCATCAGCATCAGCATCGTCATCATCATCATCATCATCAGCATCAGCATCAGCATCAGCATCATCATCATCATCATCATCATCATCATCATCATCATCATCATCATCATCATCATCATCATCAATAATCAATCATCACCACCACCACCACCAGCAGAATCATCATCATCTGCAGCATCAGCATCAGCATCAGCATCAGCATCAGCATCATCATCAACATCATCATCATCATCACAACCACCACTACCACCACCATCGTCCGCAGCATCAGCGGCATAATCATCATTACAGCCGTCGTCCGTCCTTGTGCATCCTCCTTCTCTTCGCCCTCCCTCCCCATGCGCTCTGCTGCGACCCGCCGGCGCGTCCTGTGAACGCTATGAACTTGTTCGGAATAATCCTGCGGCGGGCAGGAGGAGGTCGCGGTGGGAAGGGGGGCGAGACGGGAATAAACAAAAGTGCTGGCCGCTGGGAGGGAGGGCCCACTGATCGAGCAGGGAAAAGGAGAGACTTCGAGGCACGAGGCTCGAAGCGCACGGCGTGTTCTGGCTTCTTAGAGGCGCCTCCCGGCGCCGCGGCGGAGATTCCTCCCCGGGGTTAGGAACGCACCCCAAGAGGGGTCCAAGGGCCGCTGTTTGAGGAGGGGAGGGGAAAGAGGACACCAGGTGCACTCTACGCCACGCAAGTATATGCACGGGCACCGCCCGACAAGCTTTGCATGCACCCTCAGGGAGGGTAGTGGAGTATCAAGTCGCGGGCTCTCAATGGTAGTTCATACACCGCCGCCCTCCCCTGAGGCCCAGGAACAATCCATCATAGGGTGTCTGTGTATACATCTACTTTTATGAAGATATGTATATGTATCTTTATATACATACGCTCATATATACATATATACACGTATGGCGGACACTCCTGCAACAATCCAGGCCAGGCCCAACCTGGGCCAAGGATCAGCGCGCACGCCCTCCTGGCCGAGCCCAGGGATTCACCGATCCCAGGCCCGGGAGCGGCGCGGCTGGTGCCAGCGACGAGAGCTTGGGGGGGGCGAGAGCGGAGGGAGGGAGGGAGGGAGGGAGGGAGGAGGGAGGAGAGGGAGGGAGGGAGGGAGGGAGGGAGGGAAGGAGGGAGGTAGGGAGGAGGGGAAGGAGGGGGAGGAGGAGGAGGAGGAGGAGGAGGAGGAGGAGGAGAAGGAGAAGGAGGAGGAGGAGGAGGAGGACATCGGCTTCGGCTGCGGTCCGTGTTTGGTGCGCGCGCGGGCGGGGCGGCGCTGCCCGGCGCCTCGCGCGCTGGGGCGCGGCGATGGCCCGTGGACGTCCCGCGGCTGTCCCGTGGATTGCCCCGTGGGTGATCCCGCGGATTATCCCGTGGGGTTGTCCCGTGGGTTGCCTTTGTTTTTCTGGCGAGAGGACGGCGGGCCCTGCAGAGCGCGGCGTGTCGAGGCTGCTGAAAGAGCTCGCAAACGTGACGGAGGCAGCTACGGACGGATGCCGAGCAGTAGCCGACGCACTGAACTCGTGGATAGAAGATAGGGAGGCACCAACTATACACCAACACCGATCCCGGCCCAGATCAACCTGGGCCCAGGATCGGTGTATACGCCCTCCTGCCCTGGGCAGAATGCGTATACACCGATACTGGGCCTAGGATCGGCCTGGGCTGGATCGGTGTAGGAGTATAGTTGGTGCCTTCCGAAGAGGAGTAGTGCCCGCCTCGGCACTCCAGCACGCCGTGGGTTGCCCCGTGGGTTGTCCCGTGGGTTGTCCCTTGCTGAGTGGGCACGAAATCCAGACGCAGACGATGTACAAATATGACATCGGCATGCGGAATGTACATCAACGTGTAATCGCCATGCAAGTCAGCATGCAGATCCCAATGCATCTTATTGCAATCGAAGAAGAATTTGAATTGACGACGACATGCAGTTCGATATGAAAACCACATTTAACAGATAAAAAGCAAGTCGGTATGGAAATCGAAATTACAATCGAAATGCAATCGAAATCTGGATCGAACTGGAAATCCAAACGAATATCAAAAAGGAAATCTAATTGCAATCGAGCTGCAACCGACATCCAAGCCTAAACGAAAACCAGCATGCGCATCGCCACATATACACACACACACCGAAATGCGAGACCGATTGGAAACCGAAACGCAAATCGAAGCGCAGGTCGAGATGTGGATCGGCGTGCAAGCTCCTCCCGGACTCCTCCCTCCGCCCCCCCGCAGACCCCCCGTCACCGCAAGGGCGAACGCATGCGAGGCAGAGGCATGCGGCTGGCGCCCTCTCCGAACGAAAAAGCGTGGGAGGCCGGGATCGAGGATCGAGGACCGAGGAGGAGGATCGAGGACCGAGGAGGAGGAGGAGGAGGAGGAGGAGGAGGAGGAGGAAGAGGAGGAAGATCGGGCATCGGGGAGCATCGAGGATCGAGGATCGAGGAGGAGGAGGAGGAGGCGAGGGAGGCGGAGGCGCAGGCGGACGAGGAGGAGGAGGAGGAGGAGGAGGTTCGAGGATCGTCGAGAACTGGCGTGGGAGGCAGGAGCAGGAGAACTCGGGGAGCGGGAGCCCGTCTGCAGGGGGCCCCAGGGCAGCGTCCCGGGCACTGCCCCGCCGAGCAAGGCGCGCGGGCCTCCCGGAGGCGCACGCGTTGTCTGCGCGCGGAGAGCGCCGCCTTTGCTTCGCAAAACTGAAGGGGCCCAGGGACACACAACTACAGTTTCAACTACAAGGATTACCCATATTTTCTTTTCTTGATGTTCGTCTTCCCCTCCACTTCCAATGCTGTCCCATGCTTCCTCGGAATCGACGATCATTGCTGTATGTGTGTTTTGCCCCCTCCTGAAAAACATCACTGGTGACCCTACCACATCGCGGTTCAAAGCGTCGCTGGGCAGACCGGGAACACCAGACAAGCCAACCTGCAACAGGCAAACTCTGCGCGCGGAAACCGCATGCTCGTGCTCTCTGGCCCCAGGAGGTGCGCCGGGCCGGGCGCCCAGGATCCTCTCCCGCCCATGACGGGCCCAAGAACTCCCTCGGGAGCCGCCCCAGAGGACCTCCAGGGGGCCCTCCAAGAGACCCGGGCACGGAGACATGATGGCCCGCAGGCCGCTGGGTGCCACACCGCTGCCACGCAGCACAACCACCAGTACCTCTACCGCTCGCACTACCACAAGAATCGCCGCCACACCTGTCGACCAACGCATACGACTCTGCGTGCGCCAGCATCCTGTGCCTCCGTCCGCAGAGCGGATCCGCACCGCTGCGACCTCAGCGTGTCAGCATCCCGCTCGACGTCACGCTCGCGCATCGGCCACGCCGCCTCGCGGCAACAGCTCCAGCACCTTCCTGCGGTACTAGAGGCCTCCTAGATGGGGTCGGAGTAGATGTGGTCGGCGGATCGCGCCGCATCGCCGATACATCGACGATGTATCGGCGATGCATCGGCGATGCACCGGCGATGCATCGTCGACGTGGGCGATGTATCGGCGACGTCGACGTGAAGCATATCGGGCTCCGCATCGTGCCGCATCGGCGATGCATCGGCGATGCGGCGCGATCCTCCGACCCCATCTGCTCCGACCCCACCCGGGAGGCCTAGATGGGCGAGCAACGACATATGTACACGTACGCCCTCCGCGGTCTTGCCTGTACGAACGTCCGCGTTGCCACGCACTCCAAAGGAAGCTAACCGCGTACGTGTACATGTTGCTGGCCTCTGACTAGAGGTACGCGCCCCAACCCGAACTCCTGCTCCAGGAGCTGCAGACGGGCGGGCGGGAAAGGGCCCTGAGGCCCTGGCACCCGCTCGCCACTGGCTGCCCGCCGAAGCGCAGGGCGGGCCCCCCCGCTCGCGGTCACACCATGAGCCGAGGAGCGCCTCTCCTCCTCCTCCTCCTCCTCCCTCCTCCTCCTCCTCCTCCTCCTCCTCCTCCTCCTCCTCCTCCTCCTCCCCCTCCTCCTCCCCCTCCCCCTCCCCCTCCCCCTCTAGGGCGGGGCGGGCGGGCGGAGTGGCCCTCGCAGGCGTGCCGTCGGCAGGCCCCCGAGGGGTCCGTCGGGGGCGGGGCCCCGTGGCCGGCGGGCGCGCGGGGCCCCCCCAGGCTGGATTTTTAAGTCGGGCCTGCCCCCCTACAGGGGGATTTTGGACGCAAAAAAAATCCAAAAATATGCAAAAAATGCTAAAAATATGCCAAAAAATATGCAAAAATAGTCAAGAAATGGTCCCCGGACTATTGTTTGACTATTCTTGAATATTCCCCCCCTGCAGGGGGACACGCCCGACGTAAGACTAGCTGAGCGGGCGGGCTCCAGACGGGGCCGGGGGAGACCGCTCTGTTCGGGGCCCTCGCTCATGACAAAGTCTACAACCCTACGGCGAGGCTGATGAGGGAACACGGATCGGCGCGTTCGGATTCTAGGGGGAGATCTTCCTGGAGCACGCGAGAGCACAACTTACGACACCCACGGTTGAGGTTCAGGCGCCCCTGGGTGAGCTTGAGCGTGGCACACGACGTACTCACCGCCTACATGATAGATAGTATTTGCGGACCTCGGACTCCTTGGCGTTCGAGTGCACGCGTCGGAGCGCTTCCAGGGAGCCCGAAGTCCACCTTCCCCCAGGAAAGACATTGATACCAAGAGATGACTTTGTTGTCCACACGGCGAGTCTACCGGTCAGCAGAAACCCCCAGCACCTGCGGGTCAGCTGACGCACGTCTGGTGTAAATCTGAGACCATCGTTCTCAGCATCAGGCTCAATGCATAGATCCTGTAAGGCATGATACTCGTGATGGCCCCTGCTCTCAAAGACATTGCCACATCTTATGTATGGCAAGCAAGGTCAAAAGACTAGCGACGAGCCTTACGTTGGGCCACCTCAACTCTAACTTGTCGTTGGTCATCATTCCTTGTGGGAGGTAGGATCGCGATCAATGCACAGACAGATGAATGCATTTGGCCACGTTTGCGCTGCATCCCTCGCAACCCCGAGCTACAACTCACGGGGGTACTTCAATTGACCTGCAATTCGCGTAAATTTCCTTCTCCCAAGGGTACTCGTAACCGCCAGCAACGGGGTAGTGGTTACCGTTCTTGTTCTCGCAGCATCTGCTGCCCGGCGCCGCACAAGTGCTGCCGCAGCACTGGCTGAGGTACCCGCAGGAGAACGCCTGCATACCGGCGTTGTTGGTGCAGCACACCGCACCCGGCGCCATGCAGCCGCCCCCGCAGCACTCGGAACCCTTCCCGCACCAGAAGATGTCCCCGCGACTGTTGGTGCAGTTCTTCATCTCGCTGATGCAGGGCGACTTGGCAGAGACGGCATACCTGGTACCGTGGGAGTCGGCGCAGCACTTGTCCCCGGCCGCGGCGCACGTGTTGCCGCAGCACTGCCCGCCCGACGCGCAGGGGAAGTGACTCCCCAGCTCGTTCTCGCAGCAGGTGCCGCCCGCGGCCATGCAGGCGTCGCCGCAGCAGGCGGAGCTCTGCCCGCACGGGAAGGCACCGCCCTTCGAGCCCGCGCAGCACGTGCCGCCCTCCTCCACGCAGACGTCCCCGCAGCAGGCGGAGCCGGCGCCGCAGGTGAAGTTGGTGCCGTCGCCGCTCGTGCACGCGACCGACCCGTCGGGGCCCGCGCCGCGGAGCTGCGGCGGGGGCGAGGCCGCCGCCGCCACGGAGAGGCCGCAGAGCAGCAGGATGCGGCCCGCCGCGGACGCCATCACCCTCGTCGTCGGGCTCGCGGGACTTGGCCGGAAGTGCGGGACCCCGAAGCCAAAAACGGCCTGAGCCGCGACGGCTCGGGCCCCCGAAAAGCTGCAGATGTGGGCAGCAGCTGATGCATGACCAGGCGACCTGACACTCAGCTGCAGAGGCTTTACAGGTATCACGAGTACCACGGTCGAAAAAGCACGACCACAACCACCACCACCACCACTTCCACTCAAGGTGCCCGCTCCCTACGCCACCACGTTTGGCAAGCGTCCACCGTGGCCTGCTACCGAAATCTGGAACATGCTGCTACGTTCGCATGGGATGACGCGGGGGGCCGCGCAAGAGGTCGTGAAAGCGACGCACTCGAGTCATCTCTTTCGCACTGGCTGGAATTCATCAAAGCCCGCCACCGTGCCGTGAAGCCATCGTGCAGCGTGCGGAGCTCCAGACAGGGAACCAAGGGGCGTTCCTGACCACGGCGAGCGCCAGCAACGAACAGGCTCCCCGACCCAGACTGGGGTCTGGCCCGAAAACCAGAGCCACTCCGGAGACGAAGAGCAGTCCCTGCTTGAGCGTCTTGGCTGCAGGCAGTGAGTGGAGCGTCCTCAGGTGCTCAGCACGTGGACTACCCACCAGACCACCCCAGCTCAGCCCGAGGACCACCGTTGGGATCGCCAGTTTCAGGAGGGGGGGGGAGCTTCTCGGAACACGGAGGAAACACGACGGAACCCGCGCATCCCCCCAACCCAGAATGTGGGAGTGGCTGGGGCCTTCGGGTCGGGTCGGGGCGGCTTGGCAAGTAGCACTGCTGGTACTAGGTCGGGCGTGTCCCCCTACAGGGGAACTTTGGGGCGAACAAAAAAAAATCCCAAAATCCCCTCCAAAGGGGCAAAAATAGTCAAAACAAAAATCGTCCCCACACAACTGTTTGACTATTTTTGACTACTCCTCCTGCAGAGGGACAGGCCACTGCTTACTCCTGGCACTCGGCGTCGGACCGTGCAGCACGCCTCGGCGCCGCGGAACCAGGATCCCCCGCGCGCGCGCGCGCCGTACCTCTCGGCGGTGGACCAGCCTCCCTTTAGTAGACCTCCCCCTAGTGAAAACGGCCTGGGGCCGAAACCGACGGACCGGGGCCCGCAGAAACGACGGCCGCGACGCCCTCTCGCGAGCCGAGAACGGCCAACTCGCCAATCGACGTGTCAGGGTAGGAGGTCTGTTCGGGTCGGGCGAAAGGGGGGGATAGCAAAGGGGGGGGGGTGAGAATCAGCTCTCGTAGCTGATTTTCCCGGCGCCTCCCGGCGCCGGAGGCGGCTATGTATCGAGGAATGGGGCCCTCGGTGGGGCCGAAACCAGCTGCACGCAGCAGATTTCGTAGCCCCCCCTTTCCCAATCCCCCCCTTTCGCCCGGCCCGATCTGTCCGCCCCCGAACCTCCCGCGCGGTGCCCTCCCGGGGCTCGGCCCGCGGCCTCTCCCCCCCGCGGCGCGCCGGGAGCGCCGAGGGGGGGGGAGCCGCGCCTCTGGAGCCTCGCTCGGCTCGGTGTGGCTCCAAGGGGGGGCCGCGGAGGAGCCGAAGAGGAAGCCAGGGAGCCTCGGGTCGGGCGCGTCCCCCTGCGGGCGGATTCTGGGCGAAGCATTAAACATGCTCCAAAAAAGTACCCCCGAATGGTCAAAAAAGAATTCAAAAGCAGTCCCCAGACGATGGTCTTGACCGGTTGGGGATATTCCTCCTGCAGAGGGACACGCCCGACTGGAAGGGAGCCCCATGAGGACCTCCGGGAGACCACCAGGCGTGCCCAGGGCAGTCCCAAAGAGGGCCCCAGGCACGACCCGAGCGGGGCGCAGGGAAGCAGCCCGGGAGGGCCCCAAGGAGGGCCCAAAAGGGCCCCGAGAGGGAGCTCTCGAGGCAGCCGCACGAGACGCCCCAAACGGCCGAAGACCGCACCGCGACGGCCCAAGAGGGTCTCGAAGAGCTCTCGAGACAGCCCGAGAGGACCCAGAAGGGGCTCTCGAGACAGCCGCAGGAGACTCCCCGAACGGCGAAAGAGTGCCCCCCCGAGGGCCCGATGAGGGCCCATAGGGAGCCCCACGCAGCCCCAAGACGGCCCAGGCAGCCCTGCCGTGAGAGCCCCCACCGAGGAGCAGAGGCGAAGGCGACGTGCTGCGACCTGCGGTGCCCGCCGCGTCGCCACGCGGGCGGCTGTGCCGGCCACGCAAGGCGGGACCTGCCGAGGGCAGCCGGACATCCGCTGCCGTGCATGTGGCCCCCTAGCCTGGAGCACGTCGTGGAGGGCGTGCCTCGGTGACTTGACGGTGCTCGGCACCCGAACGTGAGGGGGTCTGGGCTGCTCTCAGCGGCCTCTGCCTCGGCGCTCGCGGGTGCTTCTGAGGGCTGCCGATCCTGCCTTCGCGCTCGAAGCCCGTGGACGCGACTCCAGGATCCTGGCCTCCGACATGCGCCAATGCGATGCGATGCGACCACCGTTGCGGACAGCGTCCTGGCCTACTCAAGACCGGGTGGGCGAGGCCGTGGCCTCGGGAATCTGGCGTGTCCGGATAACATGCAATGCGAGACAGAGGCGCAAAAAAAATCAGGAGGAGGGACGGAGGGAGGATGGTCCTTGGGGTCAGTCGTGTCAGCCTGTGTGGGAAGACAGGAAGGGGGGGGAGGAGGAGGAAGTCATTGGTGTCGCGGGTCGTCTTGGGAGCACTGCCGACTTCCTGTCAAAACTATGGAGAACTCATAGAACGTTATTGCAACGCTGACCGTTCTCGCTCTGTGGGCCTCGAGAGGAGAGAGGCACCCAAGGAGCTCCCAGAACGACCTCAAATGTGCACACGAGGGGCCGAAAAGCCCATAAGACGGCCGGGTAGGAAACCAAAAAAAACAAAACACAAGCATAAACAACAAAAAACAAACCGAAAAAAAAACCAAAAAGTACTATAAAAATATGTATATACATATATATATACATATACATAGTAATAATAATACCAAGAATTATTATACATATCTATAAAAAAAAACGAACCTAATAGATAAAGAAAGAGGGACCACCCACACACACACACACACACACACACACACACACACACACACACACACACACACACAAAACGGAAAAAAATAATAAAAAAAAAAAAAAAAAAAAAAAAAAAAAAAAAAAAAAAAAAAAAAAAAAAAAAAAAAAAAAAAAAAAAAAAAAAAAAAAAAAAAAAAAACGGGGCCCGAAAACATAGCAACAAAAAGTGACGGCCTGGACACGGCAGGCGCCTGACGCGTCGACGCGAGCGCTGGTCTCTGACACCGCGCGGACCGCTCAACCCTGAGCCATCGGCGCCGTCACACAGGGCCAGCCTGGCTCAGGCCGCCCGCAGCCTTCGGCCTTGGCCGCCCGCCACCGCGCGGACCGCTCCACCTCGAGCCATCGGCTGGAGGCTTGGAAACGGGCACCAACACCAACCCGGGGGTTGCCTCCACCTGGGGAAGGGGATGCCAGATTCTGGTGTTGGTGGTACTCTCTCGGCCACCTGGGAAGCCCGAAGATTAATATCCTCGGGCTGGCTCAGCCGATCTCGGGGTTTGAAAATTCGCTTGGGCTGAGAATTGGAGAGGGCGAAGCATTCGATAGCAGAAGCTTCCACCCGATATCAGGTTCCTATCCCACGTATTAGTATCCATCACCGAGACCGGGATCGCCATCCCTCGGTGGAAGCACACCGCCGAGATTGGTGTTGGCGTCAATTTCCAGGCCTGCGGATCGGCGCCGGCCCACAGGGGAGGTCGTTCGAGGCCGGCCTGGCCTAGGCCGCCCCGCGGCCTCCCGCCCGGGACGCCCGCGCCGGCGCGCGGCACGCGGCGGGAGCCCGCCGCGGGCCCCCCGGCCACGGCGCCCGTGCCCCGCGCGCCCGCCCACCCGGGGGGGGCGGCTGGCCAGTTGGCGTCGCAGTGGTCACGCGCGCCAGGAGCTCGCGGGGGGCGCGGGGGGAGGAGGAGGAGGGAGGAGGAGGAGGAGGAGGAGGAGGAGGAGGAGGAGGAAGAGGAGCAGGAGGACGAGGGAGGAGGAGAAGGAGGAGAAGGAGGAGGAGGGAGGAGGTGGAGGAGGAGGAGGGGAGGAGGGGGGCCGGGGAAGGCGGGGGGGGGTCCAGGAGGCGCCGCGCTCCTCCGCCTCTGCCCTCTCCTCCGTGCCGCCCGGCCCACCCCGCGTGCCGCCGGGCGAGGCAGGGCGCCCCGAGGGCCGCGAGCCCCAGGCGGCTTCTCCCAGCTGGAGCCTTTTTTTGCGGGCCCACTCCAACTCCTCCCTCCTCCTCCCTCCCTCTCCTCCCTCCTCCCCTCCTCCTCCTCCTCCTCCCCTCCTCTCTCCTCCTCCTCCTCCTCTCCTCCTCCTCCTCCTCCTCCTCCTCCTCTGCTGCGTACCTCTGCTCCACAACTGTCTGGGTACTGCAGATGTGGAGATCGGCGGGAGCGGATACACATGCGCCTTCAGTCCCGACTGCCTTTGTTCTAGCTCGCTTCGCAGACGTTGCTTTGGCTCAATTAGCTGAGCTTGCCTGGCACAGACTAGCTTGTCTTGGCATAGCTCCCACGCTCAATTGATCGAGCTGTCCTTCTCCTTTTCGTCCTCCTCCTCCTCCTCCTCCTCCTCCTCCTCCTCCTCCTCCTCCTCCTCCTCCTCCTCCTCCTCCTCCTCTTTCTCGTCCTGCCCAGTCCCCCCTCTTCCCTGAAGCCTCATAGGTGTCCACGTCGAAGGTGCGCCAGTTGAACCAGCCCAGCTCGACTGCCTTCTGCAGGCCCTCCAGACCTCAGCCCGACGGCAGGGGCTTCGGCCTATTGTTGTTGTTTTTTCTCTCTCTCTCTCTCTCTCTCTCTCTCTCTCGCTCCCCCCACTATCTCTCCCCCTGTCTATCGCATTATTTCTCTCTCTGCCCTGCTCTCTCTCTCTCTCTCTCTCTCTCTCGCTGTCTTTCTCTGTCTGTATATACATATGTGCATATATGTATGCAGATGCATGTGCATGTACAAGTGTATATATACCTATCTACATATATATATATATATATATATATATATAACTACATATATGTACAGATATGATGCCCAAGCAGCGATTGCACTGATAGGGGTCCTGGTCGCCTGTTGCACACTCGGCTGCGCGGCCGCCCCGTGGCCGCCCCGTGGACGGGTGTTTCAGGCCTTCGCCCAGCACGTGACCGCCGCCCGTGCCCCGCCCCGCGGCCGCCCAATTAGGGGGCCAGATGCGAACCCTACCCCCTACGATTTCCGAGGGGGAGGGCGGGGTTCGCTTCGCTCGGGGGAGCTCCCGAGCGAAGTGAACCCCACCCTCCCCCCTCAGAAATCGTGGGGGGGGGGGTAGAGGTAGGGTTCGCATGTGGCCCCCTACCAGTGCGGTGGCTGGGCGCCTCAGGCTCTCGCCCCGCGGCCGCCCCGTGGCCGCCTCCGTGGCCGCCCCGTGCCCTGGCCGGGTCTGCCGTGAGTTCGCCGCGTGGCCCCCCGTGGCCGCCCCGTGGCTGTGGATGCCGTGACAGTGGACGCTCTGACAATCGATCATTGAATTAAGAATGTGTCTTTGAAGGGGCCCTGGGACACACAAATAAATACACAGAACTAACAGGATTCCCCATATTTCCCCATATTTTCTGGGTTTCTGTCTTCCCCCCACTTCCCATATTTTCCCATACTTTCCTGGGGATCGACGATTAATTGTGTCTGTGTGTGTTTCTTTCCCTCCAGAATCTTCAATGTTTGACAAATGTTTCCAGAATGTTGAAACATGTTTTTTCCAAGTTTAAGACATGGTTGAAACGTGGCCTAGACATCTGGAAATTACTGGCAGCACGCTTCCTCTTCACTGATCGACTTCCACAACCCCATGGCCGCCTCATGGCCGCCCCTTGCGCTGGCTGGCCCGCGTTTCAGGCACCATATGTGTGGCACAACATGTCCTCCGCCTTCTTGAAGAAGATTGAACTTGAAGAAGATTGAACTCTAACCCCATGCCGAGGCCAGACTTGACAGACTCGACGCTTCCCCCCCCGGTCGTCATGCTTTCGCATGTATTATGCGAAATTGCTTGGCACGGGTCCTGAGGCAAACGGGTCCTGGTCCGGGCGCATGCGAACGCAGCCACTGGCGCCTTCGGTGGAGCTCCCTATGGCGCAAAGAAACCTGTGAGGTGTGTGCCGAAATGGGAGTGGGTGACGCATGCGGGCGGTGGCACCGGGGCCTTCGTTGGAGCTCCTTATGGGGCCGCGAAACGTGTGAGAGGTGTGACAACATGGGTGTGGGTGACGCATGCGGGCACACACACACACTGGGACCTTCGGTGGAGCTCCCTATGGGGCCACGAAACGTGTGAGTGGTGTGCCGAAATGGGGCGGCGCCGCCACGCGAACTGCGCAACTGGGACCTTAGGTGGAGCTCCCTATGAGGCCACGAAACGTGTGATGGGTGTGCCAAAATGGGGCGGCGCCGCCATGCGGACTGCACCACTGGGACCTTCAGTGGAGCTCCCTATGGGGCCACGAAACGTGTGAGGGGTGTGTCGGAATGGGGCGGCGCCGCCATGCGAACTGCGAAGGAGGAGGGGGAGGAGGAGGAGGGAGGAGAGGAGGAGGAGTGAGACGCGGGGCCCTGTCTCTTCAAAACGAGGAACCAACACCACAGGATGGTTGGGAAAAACTGGAATGTGCCTCCCATACGCAGCGTTGCTCATCGTTCTCCTCAAATCATGTTTGAATTCCGCTCGAATGCAACAGTGCACAAGATATCGCGCGCGTATCAAGGGGGAGGAGGAGGAGGAGGAGGAGGAGGAGGAGGAGGAGGAGAAGGGATATGGGGAGGGAGCGCAGGGGGGGGTAGTGACAAACATTGGAGGCGCCATTACCTTCCATATGACGCTGCGAGTTTCGCGAGGCAAGCGAGAAGACGGATGGGACAAGCAAAGTGACGGACTGTGGCGTATATCCTGACGGGGCAGCGCAATTTGAATCCACCGCTGCTTTGGTCGGTTCTCTCGCTCTTTTTTTGTTCTCTCTCTCTCTCTCTCGCTCTCTCTTCTCTCTCTCTCTCTCTCTCTCTCTCCTTCTCTCTCTCTCTCTCTCTCTCTCTGTCTTTATCTCTGCCTCGTTCTTTGTGTCTATGAATATATGAATGTACAGATGTAGATCTGTCCAAAATATACCTATACGACCACCCTTCGGGTGATAAGGAGGTGAGGGGGGGGGAGGGACCAACGTCGCACTCGATCGATCTCACTATCGAACTCACTACCGATCTCACAATCGATCTCAACCGATGGATCTCACAATCGGTCGGACTATCGATGTCACTATCGATCTCACAATCGATCTCACATTCGGTCTCGCTATTGATCTCACAATCGATACCACAATCGATCTCACAATCGATCTCACATTCGATCTGACTATCGATCTCACTATCAAACTCACTATCGATCTCATTATCGATCTCACATTCGGTCTCACTATCGATCTCACTATCGGTATCACAATCGATCTCACAATCGATCTCGCATTCGGTATCACTATCGATCTCACTATCGAACGCACTTTCGATATCATTATCGATCTCACATTCGGTCTCACTATCGATCTCACTATCGATATCACAACCGATCTCACAATCGATCTCACATTCGGTCTCATCATCGATCTCACTATCGAACTCACTATCGATCTCATTATCGATCTCAATCGATCGATCTCACAATCGATCTGACTATCGATCTCACAATCGATCTCACAATAGATCCCACAATCGATTTCACATTCGGTCTCACTATTTGTCTCACTATCGATATCACCATCGATATCACAAACGATCTCCCATTCTGTCTCACAATCGATCTCACTACCGATACCACTATCGATCTCACTATCGATATCACAACCGATCTCACAATCGATCTCACATTCGGTTTCACGTTCGATCTCACAACCGATATCGCTATCGATCTCACTATTGATCTCACATTCGACCTCACTATCGATCTCACAATCGATCCGCATCACCATCAACAGCATCATCGGGACACCATCAACACCATCATCATCATCATCATCATCATCATCATCATCATCATCATCATCATCATCATCATCATCATCATCATCATCATCATCAGCACCATCATCATCATCATCAATCATCATCATCATCGGGACACCGACGGGGCACCGACGGGACACGGGCGGGACACCGCGGGCCCCCGGCCGCCCGGAAGGGAGTCATTTGGTCTGGCCGCGCCTCAGCCACACGGGACACCAGCGGGACACCGGCGGGACACCGCGGGCCCCCGGCCGCCCGGAAGGGAGTCATTTGGTCCGGCCGCGCCTCAGCCACACGGGACACCAGCGGGACACTGGCGGGACACCGCGGGCCCCCGGCCGCCCGGAAGGGAGACATTTGGTCCGGCCGCGCCTCAGCCACAGGAGACTTTCTCTCGCCCGCCCACGCAGCTTCGCCTCGCCCGCACGGCACGCACGAACACGAAACCGAAATCGATTTCCCGGTAGGGGGGCTCTCCGTTCCACTTCGATCTCACCCCCTCACCTCCGACATAAATACATATATGTGTACGCATGTATGTGTATATATTATATATATATATATATATATATATATATATATATGTATGTGTGTATGTATGTGTCGTTATCTCTCCCTCTCCCTCTATATATGTATATTGTAAATATATGTATGTATATACATATATATAGGGGGGGGGGGGGGGGGGCACGATACGCGTGAAGGGTGTGCCGCACTGGGGGCGGGCATGCCATGTGGACCCTGGCGCTAGGGCCCTCAGTGGAATATTTACGTGGCCACGGAACGTGTGAGGGGCGTGCCGAATTGGGAACGGGTACGCGATGCGAGCCCCGCTGCTGGGGCATTCGGTGGAGCTTACCATGAAGCCGCGGAAAGGGTGAGGGATGTGCCGACATGAGGCGGCGACGACATACAGCCTTTGGCATTCAGGCCATAATTGGTGCTCCGTATGGGGCACGAAAAACGCGGGGGGGGGTCCCGAAATGAAGCGACGCCGCCATGCGGCCTATCGCATGTGGGCCATAGCCAGACCTCCCTATGAGGCCACGAAACGTGTGAGGGGGGGGGCCAGAATGAGGCGGCGCCGCCATGCGGCGTTTGGGCCTTAGTTGGAACTCCCTGCGGGGCCACGAAAAATGCGATGGGGGTGCCGACGCGAGGCGGCGCCGCCATGCGGCCTTTGGCATGTGGGCCTTAGCCAGAATTTCACAGGGGGAGCCGAAATGAGACGGCGCCGCCATGCTGCCTGTGGCATTTGGGCCTGAGTTGGAGCTCCCTGATTTCCGCGTCGTCCTGTTGGATAGACGCCGTTGCCGGGACGCCAACACTGAAAACGCACTCCCGAGAGCGAGCGCCACACCGCGGGCACACCGCGCACGCACCGCCAGCACGCCAGGGACAAACGCGCACACGCGGAACCGCCCTCATGTTTCGGCGCGTTGGCGGGGCTCGCCTTGCACGCAGACGCGGAGGAATTACGTGCCGCGCAACCCTTCGGCGCGACTTTGGTGCCCGCAACGCGGGAGCCGCACCCGAGGCGCCGGGCGCGGCGGCGCCACCCTCGGCGCTTTTGAGGACGCGGGCAACCCCCTCGGCGGGCCGCCGCCGCCATTCGCGGCGCGCGCACGACGGCTACATACATGCATACTGCATACACAAATACATACATGCATGCTTGCATACATACATATCTATCTATGTATATATATACACAACAATACAAACATACAAATATACAAACATGCCAATATACAAGCATACATGTATACATACCTACATACATACATACATACATACATACATACATACATACATACATACAGACCTACATACATGCATACATACATACATACATACATACATATACATTCATACATACATACATACATACATACATACATGCATACTTACATACTTACATACATACATACATATATATACATACATACATACATATATACATACATACATGCATACATACATATATATTTATATATACATACATACATACATACATGCATACATACATACATACATGCAGGCATGCATGCATGCATACATACATACATACATACATAAACAAATACATACATATATACATACGTGCACGCATGCATGCATGCAGGCATACATGCATGCATGCATGCCTACATGCAAGCATGTATGCATGCATGCATACATACGTGTATACGTGTATACGTACATACATACATACATACATACATACATAAATGCATACATGCATACATGCATACATGCATGCATACGTATATGTACATGTATGTATGCGTGCATGCATGCATACATACATACGTACATGTACACATGCATGCACGCATGCATGCATACATACATACCGATGCATAGTTATATACATGCATGTATAGATGCATGCCTGCATATATACATACATGCATACATACATACACACATGCATGCGTGCATGCATGCATGCATAAATGCATAAATGCATGCATACATACATACGTGCATGCATGCATGCATGCATATATAACTGCATACATACAAACATACGTACGTACGTACATACATGCATATCTACATACAGGCATACATGCATACATACATGCATGCACGGATACATACATGCAGGCATACATACATACATGCATGCATGCATGCATACATGCATGCATACACACACACATGTCAACATGCATGCATACATACGTACATGCATACATACATCCAGACATGCATGCATACGTACGTCACACATACACGCATGCAAAATGTATGCATACATGCATGCATACCTGCATGCATACATACATGCATGTATCCAGGCCTGCCTGTCTACCTGCTTAGGTATGTATATATGTACATATATATAAGTATGGACATGCGTATACATATATATATATATATACATACACACACATGCATGCAGGCAGGCTGGCAGACAGAGAGACAGAGAGACAGACAGACAGACAGACAGACGCAGATGCGTACATGCATACATGCATGCGTACATACACACACACAAACATGTCTACGAAAATGTGTATATATACATTGTATACATACATACATACATACATACATACATACATACATACATACATACAGCTAGATATAATATATCACCCAGCGTTGACCCAAAATAGACTAGACGAGTCAAATAAAGGAATCAGAGGAATCAAGCATGCTTGGAATCCGCAACTCAGCAAGCAAGCCAGCGTGAAAGCAAGCGCGCAAGCACGCAAGCAAGCAAGCATGCAAGCGCACAAGCAAGCAAGCAAGCAAGCAGGCATAGGCACAGGCGTAGGCATGGGAGTTCATGGGGAGGCATAGGCATAGGCATAGCCACAGGAATTAGGGGCGGGGGGCATAGGAATTAGGGGGGGAGCAACGGACCAATTAGTAGGGGGTCTGAGCTAGGACTCCTATAGGGCAAGCCTACTTGGATAAAATGTGCTATGTGCTAAGCCATTATGTCCAAAGAGGCCATGTGGGCCACACGCGCGCGAATGTCGAAAACATCCGACTATCATCGCGCGACCGCCAACTCTGGAAACAACACCATGAGGGTCACACGCGCGCGTCTGCGCGCACGTCGATATTATTCCGAAACAGATGGTGCTCGATGACATTCAACGCATATGGATTCGAAAACATCCGAGAACAGCATGGCGTTTCGATACAAACTCGGTCAGGAGTGCACGCACGTCCTCATCACCCTCGTCAGAGCCACCGTCATCACCATCGCCAGGGTCGGCCGCATTGCCACCGTCATCACTGCCATCTCCACCACCGCCACCGTCGCCGTCACCATCCCCACCGTCGCCATCAATGTCGCCAGTCTCGCCATGGTCTGTGCCGCCGCCCCCGACATCATCGTGATCAGCAGCGCCAGCGTCACCACTGACACCGTCATCGCCATCACCCCCATTATCAACGTCACTGTCGTCACCGGCACTGCGGTGTCCCCCCCCCACTGCTGGGCCCCGGGCAATCCATGATGGTGACGTCGAAGGTAGAGGGCCCTCGGGAGGCGTCGCGGAAGGGCCAGAAGGCCGGGTAGATGTTCGCGAACGGCCTGCGGGTGCACCAGCGGGGCGGCCGAAGAGACGGCAGGCAAAGAACGGATCCGGGTGTACCGAGGTGTCAGCCCACCGCCCCGTTTTGGGCAAACTCCCGGAGCGGCGCCGTGGATTTCGAAGCGGTTGGTCGTGGGGTCCCGCCCAGAATTGTCCTCCCACCCGCAGGGTTCGGGCCCCGAGCTGGAAGCCATGCCGGCCCCCTTCAATCCCACCAGCCCTCTGGGCCTGGGAGTTCCAGCGAGCAACCTCCTTCCAACCAGCCTTCCCCTTCGAGAGGAGGTCGGCCCCTGCCCCACGACGCAACACCTCCCCCTGCGTCTGTGGACTGGAGGCGGCCGAAAGTCTGGCGTAGCGGCCGCGATGAGCAACTGACGAGAACAGATGTCTTGCGCAGCCTCCGGTCGGGGGGGGGGGCATCCTCTGACGCTTCGAGCCCTTTTGGTGTGCCTTTGGGATCCCGTTCGGGTCCACCCTCTTAAGGCTCCTTGGGGGGGCCCCCGGGGGCCGCTGGGGCCGTCCTGGGGCCGACTTGGGGCATGTGCGAAAATGCTCATCGCTCATCGCGCCTTGCCTCAGGTCTGAGGGTCTGGGGGAACCCATGGGAACCTCTCGAAGCCCTCTTGAGGTTCCCTTCGAATCCTTTGTGGGCCTTGGAGTCATTTGTGGGCTACGCTTGGAATCCCTGGGCTACGCTTTGAGGGCCTCTCGAGGTTCCCCTGGGCTACGCTTGGAATCCTTCGTGAGCCTCTCGGAGGAGGCCTCTGGGCCTTCTCTGGGCCATCGAACCTGAAGAGGGGAGAGAGCGAAAATCCTCAGAAACGAAAATCCATTCGGATCTCTCAGGGATACCCCTGGGAGGCTCTGGGGCCCACATCAGGGCCACTGTGAAGCCTTCTCATGGGGCAGCTGGGGCCATGCCAGAGGCTTTCTGTGGCAACTCACGGGAGCCTGCCATACCATCTTGCTGGCTCTTGCGAATCTGCGCTAATCGACGCGAATCGACGCGAATCGACCCTAAATCGACGCTAATCGACACGAACTAGTCGAAGCTAAATTAGCGCACTCATCGATTACCAGACGCTAATCGAGACGCGAATGCACTCTAAAAACCGAATTACGAGGGTCTACAAAACAACTACCATGGTTTGCGACCGAGGAAGCAGGAGGCCAACTTCGGCCAGCACGGCCCCCCCTGGTGCCAGCCTGGAGGCCTGCACTGCCTGGTCCAGCCCTGTCCGGCCCTGCCCAGCCCAAGACGGGACCGAGGGCACCATGGCTCGTCGCAAGGAGGGCTGGCCCACCTGGACACGAGAGAAGCCTGCCTCCCAGGGGTGCAGGAGGAGCTCGACCACAAAGAAACCCTCCACCAGAAACCCAACCCGGAGACCCCATTGACTGTTGGTGTGGGAGCGTCACGCTCTCCATAGCAACTCCATCATCAAACCCAAGAAACCCAGGGCACCCTGGAGGCAAGCAGGGTGCTTCTTGGCATGGGTTTCCACTGTAGGCCTGGGGCAGGCCCAGGGCGCGGCTGGCACTTGCTGTGGCCCGCTGGGGTCTTCCGTGGCCCGCTGGGATTTCCTGTGGCCCGAGGCTCGCGGGTCGTGGCCTGCCGGTGGCGGCCCGTTGGATTCTCTGTGGCCCGATGTTGTCGTGGCCGATTGGAAGGCGAGCGATCGCACGCTTCGGGAATTGGTAGGTTCGCATACTGATGAAGCGAGGCCTGCAGATTCGCAAGAGGCAGGATAAGATCGGAACGCACATCGAATCGGACTGCTTCGGAAAGAAATCAAAATCGAACCGAGTCGGCCACGATGAGCTACACAGCTACGCCCTGGAAAACATCAGGCCACACCTGGTCTCTAGAAAGTTCGAATCGAATCGGATCGACCTGAACAAAATCGATATCTGATAAAATCGACGGGATCGAAGTGGGCCTTCAGGACCATCTCGCCCAGTCGGACAGAGTTCCTAGATGACAGCCCTCTTCAACTCATTCGGGAACGGCGGCAAGCTGGATATATACTGAACCTAGGCCAACGGCTTCATCCCTCCTTGAAAGCCGAATGATTCTTGTTCAACGCAGCGGCATGCGCTCTCGCCTGTCCCAAGGAGCGAGACTGAAAGACAAAAGAACCGCACAACCCGGCCGAGTCTGCAAGGCGGGAGGTCCGTCCAATCCACGGCGGAGAAGAGCCGACGAGCTCCCGCCGAGGGCGGGCTCCGAAAACGTGCTCCCGCAAGCGTGCCCCTGCGGGCTGGCGGGGGTCGACGGTGAGGCGGGCCCCCCTATCTGATCAAATCGCGCTGCGAGCTTGCAGCTGAAGCTTGGGGGGAGTGCCGCGAGGGAAGAGCCGAGCCAGGACTGCGCCAAAGGGGGGGGGGGGCAGGCCCCCCCCACAGGGACGGAGAGGGAAGGGAGATCGCCGCAGCTGAAGTTAGAGGAATAACGCCGGAAGCATCGATGAGTGCGTCGTGGCGTCTACCTGCGTCAATGTTTGCGTCAGTTGGCGTCTTGGACAGTGCCAGGAGGGCGAGGAGGAGGAGGGCGTGGCAGCTGCGCGCTCCAGTGAAGCGCGCAGCCGCCACGAGCTCCTGCACCGCAGGGGCTCGGCAGGTGCTCCCTGCGCTGCAGCCCGAGAGCGCGGCCGCGGGCCGTGCGCCCCTCGCTGGCAGGCGACGTGCCTGGCGCTCAGGCTGCGCCCCGCGGCCGCGGCACGCAGGGCGAGGCCGCGCTCGGGGCTGCAGCGGTGCCCCGCTGACGCAGCAGAGGGAGGCGCGGGCGTCTGGAGAGTCCCAGCAGCCTTCTGCGGGGTGGGTGGCTTTGGGAACGTCCTCTTCCCGCCCCCCATGTCTGGCCATTCGGGGAGGGGTTTTTAACCGCTGCTCCCCGTTCACAAACGCCCCCTCCCCCAGGCGACCCGCAGCCAACCAGGACCAATGACAACCCCCACCACCACCTCGGCCGAAAACGATACAAAATACACTTTGGGGCAAAAATATTGTGTCATAATCGTGGGCCTCGCGAGCAATGTGTCTTGTTTTGTTGACAAAAACGGCGGGGGGGCTCACATTGCCTGCTGTTCGCAAGGCCACCACCCGTCAAAAATTATAAAACATGAAACTCGCGACCAAATCTGGATCACGCGCGGTCGCCCCTCCGTCACTGCCCACCAGTTTTTGACAGTGACGGCGGGGTGTTGGCATGCTGCCTGCTGTGCGCGGGCCCATCTGACACCATGATGGCGTTCCCGCCACGATTGTGCACTGGTTTTCGATCACTTTGGACGCCCGACATGGGTACCGAAAAAATGGGCACTATGCCCAACAACAATTGTTGTCCCAAGCCAACAGCGGCCGCTGTTGGGCAGGCGGCCTTCTGTCTCGGATGGACACAGGCCGCGGCGGCGTGGACAGCGACTCCTGTTCAAAGTGAACAGGAACTGCTGTCGGGCATGGTACCCATTCTTTCAGTACCCATTTCGGGCGTCCAGAATCAGGGTGGTGGGGGCGACATTGCTCCCGACTGCCACGTGCGCGGGAGCACCTGGCACGTTCTGCGCGTTCCCCGAACTTGGCGCACCTGGCGCGGCTGGACCATGCGGCACGCACGACGCACGTGGAGCACGTGGCGCATCTGGCGCGCCAGGCGTGCATGGCACGCTTGGGCCCCAGGGGTGCCCGGCGCACCTGGCGCGTGTGGCACGCCTGGCACGCGTGGCGCACCTCGCCCCAGCATCGCGCACATGTGGTTTGTGTTGGTTCCCGATAGCTGTCCCTCCACAAACGACCGCTGAACATGCTCAGACTCGGGTGCTACTTATGTGTTGGGAGGGCGGGTGGGAGTGAGCTAAACAGCTCTCGGGCGGAATGATGTATTGACCCTCCACCTACCCCCGTCTCTGGGTCTGGACGGAGCATTTCGCGAGGGCTTGGGGCGTCCAAAATGACCTCAAAAAGGAAACCAAGGTCATGTATGTTCCAAACAGTGCTTGCAGTTAGGGGTTCTTACTTCTGTTTTAAGGAACTGGGCCGTGTCTTCGGTTTGGCGGCTATGTGGCCGCCGTCGCCGCCCCCCCGCCGTCTCGTCGCCCCTGGTCTGGCGGCCATGTTGTCACACTCGCCGCCCCGTCACTGCCTTCTCGCGGCCTCGCAAAATTGCACCATACGGATTGTCCTTTTCCCAAAAATATACTCGACCCCCCCCAGGATCATAGTCCCCCAACTTCCGTATTGCAATTTACATACGATTTTGACCCTTCGTCCATCCTAAATATGAACGCTCATAATGGTAAAAAATGTTACCAAGCGGGCTTGCGCGCGCGCATGTCGAGATCGTTCGCGGGCCCCTGCGCGCGTGCCGTCGCGAAACCTTTTCGCAAAAGACTTCGCGAAATGCACAAGCGCGCGTCGTTGCGCGCACCCATTACTATTTTCAACATGTTCATGAAATTATGCCAAGCGGGCCTCTGGCGCCGCATGTCGACATCATTCGCACGCCGTTGCGCGGGTGCTGGGGGGGGCACGGTCTGTATCAAACAATACCATGCGGGCCACTATCGCGCGTCGGCCGCGCGCGCACGTCAAATTTTTCGCAAAACCTTCATCACCGGCGCGAGGACGCCGTCATCGTCATCGATGTGATCAGCATCGGCGCCCGCACTGGCCGCGCGGTCGTCGTGGTCAACATCGCCACCAGCATCGCTACCCGCGCCCGCGCAAGTCGCCGACTCGCACTGAAGTGCCCGCTGGGATGTGCCCAGCGGTCAGCGCCACCGCGGCCGCGGCGGTCGCGCCAAACTAGCTGGCCGCTGCGCGCGCGTGCTTGGGTTGGCGCGGCCGCAGAGATGGGCCAGGCAACGCAAAGCATTCATCGCAATCGCCACCGCATGGGTTTTGCAAACCAAGTTGCCACATAGATTTCACCACAGACATTGTGCCACATATATCGTACGACATAGAGCGCACCGCATAAGTCGCAACGCATAGATTGCACAGCATAGGTCGCAGCACATATCCCACAGGTCCTTTAGGACGCAGGTGGTCTAGCGCGCCTTCTCTTCCACCCCTCCCTCTTCCCCTTCGGGGACGGGTTTTCACTGTTCCGTGTTAAATAATAGACACCCCCTCCCCCACCCGGCCGGCGGCCAACCCAGAACCATGCCAACCCCATGAGGGCCTGTCAAGGAACGAAACAAAACGCATTTTGCCTCCACATTCGGAGCATGCGCGGCCAACCCGATGCGGCCCCCCCAACATCAGTGTCAAAAAAGCCATAGAAAGTACACGTTGGGGCATTATTGAGTCCTGTTCGTGAGGCCCGCGAGCACTTGGTCGTTTTTGAGCGGAGGGGTCAGCATATTCCCTGCTGCGCGCAGGGCTACCATTCCTGACAAACATGCACCTCGCGGCTAAATCTGGATCGTACGCGGTCACCCCGCGATCACTGTCAAGTGGTTTTTGACAGGGACGGCGGGGGTTGTGGCACGTGGCCTGCTGTGCGCAGGCCCACAAGACAAAATGCTGGGCATTGGTGTTCGACTAGATTCCCGATGTGTGCTGTCACGTGCGCAGGCGCGCCTGACGCACTCTGCACGTGCCCCAAACGTGGCGCACCTGGCGCGGCTGGAGTGAGAGGCACACCTGGCGCCTTCGAAGCACGCGGCGCATCTGGCGCACCAGGCGTGCCTGGCACGCTCGGGCCCCAGGGGTGCCTGGCGCGTGGCGCCCCTGGCACGCGTGGCGCACCCCGCCCAAGCGTCGCGCACCAGGGGTTGGCGTTGGTTCCCAGTTGCTGTCCATCCACAGACCACCGCTGAACATGCCCAGGCTGGGGTTTTACTTATGTGTTGAGAGGGCGGGTGGGAGTGAGCTAGACGGCTTGCGGGCGGGTGGGTCGCTTGACCCCTCCCCCATACCCCCTCCCCTGGACCCCGACAAGGAGTTGGAGCGTCCAAGATGGCCCAAGATGGCTCCAGGAGCGCCTCGGAGAGCCCAAGATGAGCTTCAAGATGGCTCGAGATATCCCATCCCAGGATACCTCAAGATGGTTCCCAAAATGCTCCAAGAGGTCCCAAGAATGCTCCAAGACGGCTCCGAGAGGCCACTGAGTGCCCCCAGGAGGCCGCCAAGAGGCAAAAACCATTCAAAAATCTGAAGGAAATCAATGCGTGTTGCTGTCTCGCCCGTTCGCGTTCGATTGCCTTCCGAGGCCTCAAGATGGCCCCAAGAGGGCCCAAGAGGGTCCCAACGGCCCCAAGAGCGCCCAAGAGCGCTCCAACAGCGCCCCAAGAGGGGCCCAAGAGGCGAATGTTGGGGCTCCCAAGGGGGAAGCCGAATTGAAGACCCCTCGGTTTTGCTCGATGTCATCCAAGATGGCCCCAAGAGTGCCCCGAAAGCTCTCAAGAGCGCCTCAAGAGGCGCCCAGACAGCCCCAAGAGGTGCGCGAGAGGCCTCCAAGAGGCTCGTCCGAACACTAGCCGGGCCGCGACTATGCAGCAAGAAAAGAGAGAGGCAAAGATGGTGGGGTACGCGAAGCGTCAACAATTTTGCATTAAAGAAGCGCACCGCCTATATGGCACCGTTCAGATCGCACAAGAGATTACTACTGCACCACATGGATCGCACCGCGTGTAATGCACCACTTCCATTGCACCACACAGAGTGCACCACCCAGGTTACAGCAGGTAGATTGCATCACCTAGATTGCGCGACCTTGATCGCACAAGCTATGGTGCACAACATAGATTGCACCGCCTCTGTTACACCACATAGGTTGCAATACATTGATTGCACCGCATCTATTGCACCGCACAGACTGCACCACATAGGCTGCAGCACCTATACTGCACCACATAGATTGCACAACATGCGTCGCACACTCTATGCTGCACAACATAGATTGCACCGCCTATGTTGCACAAGATAGATCGCACAGCATGTACTGCACAACCTATATAGCACAGCCTAGGTCGGACCACCTAGATCGCACCGCATAGGTTGCACCACATAGGTTGCAGTACCTATATTACTCCACATAGATTGCGCAAAATCGACTGCTGGAATCACACTGTTTAGGGGCCCACATTGCTAAGGTCTTGGTTCTTGGGGGGACCGAATTAAGGAGCCTCCCTCGTTTGATCGATCTCTTCCAAGATGGCCCCGAAATGGCACCCGAGGCCCCCCCAAGACGGCCCCAAGAGGTGTCCAGGAGGCCCCAAGAGGCCCCCAAGATGCCCCAAGAGACTCCCAAGAGGCCCCAAGAGGCCCCAAGAGGCACCGACGACGCCCCAAGAGGCCTCGGCGAGAAAGCCAAAATCATTGATGTTACTCAGGCTTTGGCCACATTGTACCGTCCTGGTGGGGTACCCTAATCAAGGGCCCCCGCTCTTTTGATCGATCTCTTCCAAGATGGCCCCAAGATGGCCCCCGAGGCTCCTAAGGGTACCACAAGACAGCCCAAAGAGGTGCCCTGGAGGCCCCAAGAGGCCCTCAAGATGGCCCAAAGATGCCCTGAGAGGCTCCAAAGGGACCCCCAAGAGGCCCCAAGAGGCCCCCAAGAGGCACCCACGCCTCAGGAGGCCTCAGCGAAGAGGCCAAGATCACTGATGCTACTAAGGCTTTGGCCACATGTTAGTCTCCTCAGGGGGGACCCTAATTAAGGAGCCCCCCCCTCATTTGATCGATCTCTTCCAAGCTGGCCCAGAGATGGCACCCGAGGTTCCCAAGGGTGGCCCAAGACGGCCCCAAGAGGTGCCCTGAAGCCCCATGAGGCCCCCCAGAAGCACCCAAGACGCCTTAAGAGACCCACGGGACTGGCAAGAGGCCCCAAGACGCCCCAAGAGGATTCCAAGAAGCTCTCGAAAGAAATCCGAAGAGACTCCGAAAGGCATCCAAGAGGCTTCTGGCCTTTCTGCTCGCCCTCCTCCTCCTCCTTCTCCTCCTCCTCCTCCTTCTCCTATTCCTCCTCCTCCTCCGCCATATGGAAAATTCCCCCCTGTCACACACTGAGGCCGGTCGAAGAGGCGGGCCGGGCGTTTCTCCTGAGACTTCCTCGCCGTTCATGGTCCAGAAGCTTCGATGTTGGCAACAGCTTCACGGTTGGAGGGCGGGCGGTTTTCAAAATGTGGCGCTCGCCTTAGCGCCACGAACCCTCGTCCTAAAGCATGCAAGACGGATTGGGGGCGGGCGGCTTTTTTCTGTGGCTCTCGCCTCAGCGCCGCGCACACTCGCCTTAGAAACTTGCAAGAGCTTCACGGATTGAGGGCGATGCCTTTGCAAAAGGTGGCTCTCGCCTCAGCGCCGCGCACGTTCGCTATCAGAACTTGCAGGAGTTTCAGAATTCGCATGGCTAGCGTATCAGAAAGGTGCTATGGAACGATTGAGGATTGTAAAGGCGCATCAGTTCAGTTGATTCGCGGTGTTGAAGTCTCGGGGATAGTGTTCTGGCACGATTCAGGATCGTCAAGACGCAACATTCAAGTTGATTCGTGGCGTCGGAGTCCCGATAATGGTGTCTTGGCACGCTTCAGGATCTTCAAACGGCTGTCTCCCAACAGGGCACTTTCGTCAGTGGGAATGAATCCTTGTAGGGGCCTATGAAGAGGGAGCTTGGGGAGGGTTATTCCCACATCGTTGATGCGTCTTAGGTTTACACTGGTCCTCCTCCTCATCCTCGTCCTCCTCATCTTCCTCCTCGCGCGAATTCGAATCGGACCGAAACGGATCGGATCGCCAGCGAATCGTCCGAATCTAATCAAAAATTTGATCGCCGCCCCCAGTTCCAGATGGCCCCAGCCAATGCTGGCGGATCAAAACGACTCGGCTCGAATCGAAACTGTAGTCGAATCGGGCCGAATCGGATCGTGCAGTCATCGCGCTACAAGCATGAGTAAGGAACGGAGGAGCCGTTGTGGCCACGGCGAGCTTCGGCCACGAATCGGTTCCCCAACCCAGGTCCAAGGAACAGCCCAAAAATCAGAGCCCCTCCTGAGCCCTAAGCTTATGTTGCTCCCATCGTACTGAAGGACCACATCCAAGGAATAATTTCGAGCACCCGGACAAGTGTCCAAAGAGTGTCGAAACAGTGTCGAAACAGTGTCGAAACGGTGTCGGACGAGTGTCTCCCAGGGCCTGACACGCGAGAACCCTCCAATTCCTATACTTTCCTGGCGCTCGAAATTCTTTCTGGTGATCGAGGCTAAAGTAAGTTAAAGCATCATAACCCTAAGTGGTCCTTTCTCCAGCGTCTCGACTGTAGGGGGCCCTGGGCGTCGGGGCCCGAGGCTCCCCCCGAAGCCGCGCGGCCAGCGGCCAACGGCCGGGGGGAGGAGCCTGAAGGCCAGCGCTGCGGGCTTCATCATGACCACGACCTGCGGCGCGGTCAGTATTGGCGGCGAGCCCGGGGGGAAGTGAGAAGGGGCGGGCCTTCTCAGAAGGCTCGGAAGCCCCTTGGCCTTCTGAGAAGTTGCTAAGCCTTCCCCAAAGACTCAGAGAACCTCTCAGAAGGCGCGAGGGCCTCTGAGAAGTCCCGCCGCCTTCTGAAAAGACCTCCTCCTTCCCACCTCCCCCGGCAGGTGTGCGAGGAGCTCCCCAGGCCGGATCTCTGAGCTGACTGACGAAACCGATGGCTTCGCGCGCAGAAGCCTCCTCTATACCGCCAGAGTGGGGCAGGAAGCCGGGAGGACGCCGGCTACCCGCATGCACCGATCCTGCCTGGGCTCTCCCTTGGCCCAGGACCGGTGCATACCCAAGACGAAGCAAGACGAGGATAAAATCGGGCGAGGGTCGATCGAGAATCTCTCTGAGCTCCGGCAGGTCTGGAGGATGCCTCGGGCGCCGCGGCCTTCTCAGCGCGCTCCGAAACGCTCTGAGAGCGTTCCGGAACGCCCTGGAGCAGATCGATCCTCGTCATAACCCCGTCCGAATACGCCCTAACCCTCGTGCTCGTCCTCACCCTCGTGCTAACCCTCGTCCTAACCCTCGCCCTAACCCTAGCCCTCGTCTGGCACAGATTGATCCTCGTCCTGACCCTCGCCCTCAGCCTCGCCCTACCCCTAGCCCTCGTCTGGCACAGATTGGCCCTCGCCCTAACCCTCGTCCTAACCTGCCTGGGCCAGGGAGGCGCACGCGCCGATCTGGGGGCCGAGCATCGGCCCGGCCAAGCTCTCGATGCAGGTGTGCGGCCCGCGTCCCCCGCGCAGCGGAGAGGTGGGAAGCGCGGGAGCCGGCCGTCTCCGGATCCCTCGGGGCCGAGCCGATCCCTCGGGCGCGGCCCAACCGACCCCCGGCAAACCCTGCCCGTCCGTGACCTCCTCCTCCTCCTCCTCCTCCTCCTCCTCCTCCTCCTTCTCCTCCTCCTCCTCGCCTTTCGAGTTCCCCTCTGGGCGCGTACCTACGGCTGGGGGCGAAGCGAGGGGGCCATCACGGAAGGGGATGGTTTGCCAGGGGTCGGTCAGGCCGCCCCTGAATCGCCCCACCCGTCGTCCCATCGAGTTATTTTGTCCCTCGCTGGATGGCGACATCCGAACCCTACCTCCACCAACCATCGATTCTCCTGAATCGACGGGAGGCGGAGGTAGGGCTAGGATTTCGCCTCGTGCTCGACGAAGTCTGGACCCTACCCCCGCCGCCCATCGAGCTGCCTGAATCGTTGATCGGTGACGGCAGGGTTCGGACTTCGCCGCTGACTCGCAGAACTCGGCGTAAGAGCAGGAGGATCGAGGCAGTGGTTCGCCAACTTTGCCGTACACGGGCCCATCTTAAATCAATCCAGGACGAAAGAACTGGCAAGGGTATAGACTCCTGGAGGGGTTCGGGGTCTGGTTTTGTGCTGAGCTTGAGGAGGAGGAGGAGGAGGAGGAGGAGGAGGAGGAGGGGCGAGGATCGAATATTTGGGTTTGCGAGCATTGCTCACTCTTTTTGGGCCTCTGGGAGGTTTCTCGTCGCAACAGCTCAATTCCTCTCGGAATTCTGGTCGGAACGCACCCCAGGAAAGATCTGCAGGTGGAGTTGGGAAGGAGGAGGAGGATGAGGAGCCGAAAAGCAGACGCTACAATCTAAAGTCCGCTCAACGTCCAAAAAGGAGCCGAAAAGGCGACAAAAACAAGCTTAGTGAGGAGGAGGAGTTTCGTAAGCCCTCGATGCTCGCTGGCAAGCGGGCAGGCGGAACCTGGCGGGCCAACGCAAAGTCAGACCCGAGCGGGAGGCAGGCGGCGATTAACATGCGTATGCAGGACAGGAGTCCCAAGAATGCTACCAGGGGGGCGCGACGTCCATCCTCCGAGCCTGCTGCGAGCGCGAAGGGGACAGCCTGTGTTTTCACGCTCGCTGCGCATGACGCGGGACCTTTCCTGCCAGGGCCATCGCTTAAGGGGCCGCATACAGTAGGAGCTCGAGCACAAGAAACCTTCCACAAGAGACCCAACCATGAGACTCCAGGATTTCCATTGATTTTTGGTGTGGGGCCGCCACCTTTTCCATCGTAGAACCATCGAAACCCAAGAAACAAAGGGCACCCTGGAGGCAAGCAGGGTGTTTCTTGGCATGGGCTTCCACTGTAGCTGTGGCACAACGCTCTCGTAGTTCTGGAGGGGTGACGCTTCACATGAAGGGTGGCATTGCATTCCTTATCGAGGTGCCGCGCATCACCCGTGGCGATAGACAGGAGGGAGCAGAGGAAGCTCCTTAACATCAGAACTCTTCCTTTGTTGTATCGGCCGCCTCCAAAGAAGGCCCGAAACCGACCCGAAGTGCTCCCAACAGGGCCAAGAGATCGCCGAATGCACTCAAAAGGGGTTGATGGCTCCAAAACGCTTTGGGAGGCTAATTGGGAGGCTTCCAGCGGGCAAGTTTGGGAGGCTAATTGGGCTGATCCTCCCTTTTTCTTCCGCTGATGTGTTTCTCTGCGTCTTGCCTACGAATCGTCTGGACGGGCAGGTGGGCTTAAAAAATCCCACCGGGCCTTTCGGGCGTAGGTGGTTCAGGTTATTTATTTCAACCCCCTTCTTCCCCTTCGGGGAGGGGTTTACCCCTCCTCCTACACCCTACTCTGGGTCTGGGGGGAAAAGGGGGGCGCGAGGGGTGAAAGCATCCAAGATGTCCAAAGATGGCTCCAAGATACGCTCAGAATGCCCAAAATGGTCTCCGATATCGCACAAGATGGCCCAAGATCGCTCAAGATAGCCTCCATTATACATCCAAGGGGTCCGAAGACCGCTCCAAGTGGCCACGGAGCCTCCCAAAGACGCTCCCGAGGGGCCAAAATCCCTAACCCATTAGAAAATCCATAACTGTGCCAGTCTCTTCATTTCGCTTCCGACTGGCTTTCGAAGCCTCCAGGTAGCTCCAAGATAGATCGCCCAAGAGAGCCTCCAGAGCCAAAGAGGGCTCCAAGACAGTCCCAAGAGCGCCCCCAGTTCGGCCCAAGAAGCGAGTTGTAAGGCGTCGACGAGGGGACTGGAATGAACGACCTCCCCTTCTTTGATCGACTGTCTCCAAGAAGTCCCCAGGAGAGCCCTCAAGAGGACCCCCAAGAGGTGCCCCCAGAGTCCCCCGGAAGGCCTGAAGAAAGCCGAGAGGGTCTACGGAACGGCCCCAAGAGGGCCCCAAGATGGCGTGCGTGTTTTGTGTGCGTGCTTTTTGCATTTTTCCAAAAGCTGCCAAGAGATTCCCACATCGAAGGGTCCGCGAAGGCAGTATGGTTGACACCCAGGTCTGCTCGGGCTAATGCCGACAGTCGGCTCGACGGCTGCCCAAAAAAAAACCACTTTGTGCCGCTGCTGCTTGCGTCTGCACTTCCCTGAGCAAGGCAACCCACCTGGGCATCGTTTCTGCATGGTTTACGGGGATACGAGAAGTGCTGAGAACTTGGGTGAAAAGACATGTACAGATGTTCACCAGATGATGAGCGTGAAAGGACCATATGCTACTGAACCTGCAAGTGCTCTTCATCGTTCGAGGGAGAGGAGGGCCAGAGAGAGGGGAGGGCAAGCAGGGTAAGGAGGCGGAAGCGGACGATTCAGACCCAGAAGAGGAGGAAGGGCATGAGGCTCCTGAGGAAGAGAGAGACGACAAGAAGGGGAAGAAAGGAAGAAAAGGGACGCGCAGGACGAGGAAGAGAGAAAGGGGAGGACGACATCGGAGACGAAGACGACGACGACGACGACGACGACGACGACGACGACGACGACGACGACGACGACGACGACGACGGCGGCGACGGCGGCGACGACGACGACGACAGCGACGACGACAGCGACGACAACAAGGAAGACGACGACGACGACGACGACGACGACGACGACGACGACGACGACGACGGCAACGAAGACCAAGACGAAGATGAAAGCGAACGACGGGCGACGAACGATGGGCGACGAACGACGGGCGACGGAAGCGAGGACGAGGCCGAGGCCGAAGACGAGGGCGGAGAGGCGAAGGAAGTGGACAAGGACCAAGGCGGAGAGGCGGAACAAGACACCACGGTGCGCGCGGAGAGCAAGCGCCGCACGGCACCGGGCCAGCCCGACGGCGCTGGACGCGGACCCAGCGGTACCGCCCCCAGGGGGCGGGGGGGCCGCGGGGCGACATCCTTCAGAGAAGGCAAAGGCGACTACCTACCAGACCACCCCCAACCAAACCCGAAGACCCAGATTCCGGGGTGGGCGGGTGCGGGTTCCACACGTGCTTCTCCGATGTGTTCCCCAACGCTCCCCCCCACACTGGGAATGGAGGGCACATTGGGGCCTTCGGGTTGGGTTTGGGGTGGTGCGGTGGGTGGTGAAAAGACGGTGCGGACGTAAACCTTCGGCGGTCCCCGCGCGCTGCATCCCTTGGATCGGCAGGGAGGGCTGGGCCCGGCACGGGTCCAGGGGAGTCCGCGCGGACTTCCAGAAGCAGCCTTAAGTCGGGCCTGTCCCCCTACAGGGGGATTTTGGGCGGAAAATGAAAAAAGATTCACAAAAGTGCCAAAAAATACTTCAGAAATGTTAGCAACATCGTCCCCTGACTATTTTCTGATTATTCTTGAAGATATCCCTCCTGTAGAGGCACAGGCCCGACTCAAGAGAAGCCTCGTGCTCCTGCGGCTTCTGCTCTCCCTCTCGGAGGGCGCCAGCCATGCCTCCGCCCCGATCCTGGCCAGGCCAGGCCTGGGCCCAGGATCCGCGTGCACTGCCTTCTTGAAGGGGCCCCGGGACACACAAATAAATACACACAAACAAAAATATCCCCCATATTTTCCCACATTTCTGGGGCTTTCGTCTGCCCCCCCACTGCCCACATTTTCCCACATTTTCTGGGGAATCGACGATCACTTGTGTCTGTGAATCGAGGAGGACCGAGGATCGAGGAGGACCGAGGACCGAAAATC